AACAATATTGGGCCATTTTTCTCAGAAAGCTCATAATCCAATAACTACTTAGAGCATCCTATTCAGAAGATAGGCCTAATGGGAGCTGGATATATACTGAATTTCTCCATAATGAATAGATTTAGAAATTAACGAAAAAAAATACTTACTAAATATTTATCGAATACTTACTGTGCTAGCACAGTGTTACCCCTGTGAGGAAACCAAAAATGGGCCACACTGACCTGCCTTCAAGGAATGTATACTCTGGTAGGACTGGAACTCCTGTGGGAGAAGTGGAAAGTGACCAAGACAAATATTGTGATTAGATACAGTGATAGGATAAGCAGCCTGGGTGTGGTGGTTGCAGGAATTTTGGAGCAGGACTGTTGAAATCAACATTAGAACTTGTATCCCTCAGATGTTGTTCCACTGACAGGAACATGAAGCTCCTGAGGTAGCTGGTGTTTATAGAGGGGATCTCTTAGACTCCAAATGTACATGCCAAGATTCAAAAGGCTGGAGGCCACCAGACAGTGTCTGTCTGATCCTCTGTCTCGTCTCAACTCATCTCTGCACATCCTCCTGTTTTCTTTTCTTAGACCAGCAGCTTCTTTAGATGTCCAGTCATCTCGGCTGTGTGTTGACATGAGCTAATTCTGGCTTTGCCTTATCCAGTGCTCAATCAAATACCTCATTATCTAGCAGGAGCCTATATATGTTGGTTCAAAACTCCTAAAGAAGAGGGTTCTCTATGTGGTCTACTTTCTTCTAGTCCTGGGCAGCCATAGGGATGGAGCTGCATAGAGGGTGGTCACTGACAAGTCCACCTAGGCTTCCCTCTGGACTGCAGGTGGGAACACAAGCAAGGAAGGGAAGGGTATTCGCAGCCTCGTGGCAGCCTTAAGATCAAAGATACTGAATGTGGATGCCACGGGGAGCATGCCATGTTGAATCATGTTTTCTGCCCTTCAGCAAAGTCCCTTTTCACTGGGAATGGTGCAGATAGGCACTTCCTCAGATGTGAGGAGCACCATACAACATTCCCCAGGTGGGAGAGGGCTGACATTCTGTTGCACGGTGGACTGAGAGGTTTGTCCAGGTAGCTGGGTGGGGTGGGGACGCTCATTGGCTTAGGCATGTAAGTGTGGTACAAGGAATCTTGGGGGAGTGTGTGCTTGGAACACAGTCAGTCAGTATTCCTGCAGCAGCTGCTGTGAAGGAGCTGTCATTTAGGAATATTGATAGGAATGCAGGACAGTTTGTTTTTCAAGTAGCTAACCGGGGCCTGGATTTGTTTCTGCTTTAAGTATTTGTAAATGTAATTGTTGTGATATAGAGTACTTTTTTCAGTAATCAAGAAAGCAGTTAACTTTTCATTGGGTTACACATAGTAACATGTAAGAAAAGAGGTTATTGGGATAAGGTTTTACTGATGTTTATTGTGTTAAATCATTAACTGGGCTTGTTATATTAGCAATACATGTATGTGTTGGTAAACTCACGCAAATTAAATAGCTGAAAGAACTTAGGCATATATATATCATATACATATAAATATTTAGAGAGAACTTAGGTATGCATATTTTCTATATTAGGATTTGAGGTGCTGCAAAGAAAATATTAAATATTCAGTTGATACTTATAATTAATTATGGTAAAAAGCCAGAAACTTATTTAGCTATGAGGACATTTTGTTTAATTATTTTAATTTTTATTCTTTTTTTGTGTGTGTGTTTGTGTGTATCTTTTTCCTTTTTACTGGGACATGGGATCAAACTCATGACTGCCTGCTTGCAAGGCAGGTGCTTATGCTGCTGAGCTAAATCCTCAGCCCCTTAATTTTTATTCTTGACTAAAACTATGAACTGTGATATCTTTTCATCATAAAAATGTGTGCTTATATGCTAAAGTACTTTAACAAGAAAATTGAGTATAGTATTTATCTTTAAAATATGTTCTAACATTTTATTTTATTTTGCTTAGTTTGTGGTTGGCTTGGACCTGTGGGCATCACATTATCTAGTTGGGGTTTAGCTGTATTTCAAAAGAAATTTTTTACTTTGATATTTGATCATCTTTTCCCTTTTAAGTAAACCTCTGATGTTAGAAAATTGTATTGTCTTTGGCATTTGCAAACTAATAACTTCTGTCTCTAAATGAAAGTAACTGAATAAGGTTAAAGTTACTATTCCATTTTGTTGATTGGAATAGTAGGCAAACTATTCGTGAGGTTTATGTGGTTTAGATTTTATCATCTCTCCATCCTTCTGAATAATCTCTCATCCATATGAATATTTACAATTCCTACTTTCAGCAATATAGAGATAGTAACGGATGATCAGGAAATAATACCCATGCCTTACATTGCATGATGGGAACTAGAACTAAACTCTGTTTGATGACTGTTTAAAGATCTGTTGTCTTTAGAGAGAAGCCCTCTGTTCCTAGAATTTAATTTGTGAATTTGTAATTATATTTGCTTAGAAATTGTCAGTCTAATAACATTGTTCTGTTGCAGTGAATATGACCATAGAAATATGAAGATGGTGTGCAACCTAGATGCAAAAAAGGTCTCTTTTGTGCTTCTAATCAGTTGTATCTACAAAATTTGTTAAAAATAGAAAGAAGGAAATGTAGTCTGACTGTGATTCCCAAGAAAACTTTCAGCAGAGTATTTATTTCTGTGAAGTGGCAGCTAGAATCTCTTTAGAAAGATGCAATAACTTACACTTTACTGCTGAGCTAAATCCTCAGCCCCATAAAGTTGTGCCCCTCAGGGCAAGCTGCATGATGCCATTGAGTTTATGACTCATGAGTGCTGTACTTTTCTGATACAATAAATAAGTAAAGGTGGTGGGAGAATTATATTTCTGCACAAAGAGCCACTTTGCTCTCATTATATAGAGTAAAGCCACGGAACCATTAAATTTTTAGTAGCAGTTTCAAGCAGAACATTATCTGTGATCTGAAATGCTTATATTGAAGTGCTAAGATATTTAAGAACAAAACAAAATAAAAACAAGGTAGTTGTAACTTTTGGAACTAGATTACTGGCAATGTTTTGAAGGACCTTCCCTGCAGGATTCTAATTTAGGGTGTGTGTGTGTGTGTGTGTGTGTGTGTGTGTGTGTGTGATCTTCTAGCATTTTTCTCCACTGTTGATTGCTCTCTTACACTTTAATTTTAATTTGTAAAATAGACTACTTTTAGAGAAGTTACAGGTTCACTGAAAAATTGAGAAAAACTTACAGATTTCCCATATAATCCTTACACTCATAGATACAACCTTCCCTGTTATCAACATATAGTACATTTGTTACAGTTGAAGAACCTACACCTGACATATCATTGTCTCTCAGAAGCCATGGTAAACCTTAATGCTCACTCCTGATGTATATATTCTTTGATTTGGACAAATACAAATGTCATATGTTTACTATTGCAGTATCATATAGAGTAGTATCTCTGCCCTAAACTCCTTTATATCAGTGATGTTGAACCTTTTATTAGAGTTTTCAGTGATAACAAATAACTCACTGTGGCATGTGTGCCGTAGGCTCACCATTACTGCTCTCTGTTCTTTCTGTTTGTCTCTCCCACAGCCCCTGACCTATGCTAATCCCTGATATTGTTATTTGGGTTCGTCTTTCCCTGAAATTCATATAGTATGTAGTCTTTGCAGATGGTTTTTTGTATTAGTCAGCTTCCTAGTCAGGTGTGACAAAACACCTGAAACCATCAATTTAGTAACAGAATAGGTTTATTGACTCCTGGTTTCAGAAGTCCCAGTCCATGGTTGCTAGGCCTTAATGCTTTGGACCAGTGTAGCCAACTCAAGTAGAAGCTGTTTTCCCACAATCTGTGTTAACACTGTGTCCAAATGTAGGAGCCTTTCCTTCCTCCTCATGGTTACTTCCAAATCACTCATCCCCTTTCCTCCCTAAAACAGTCTGCTCCAGCTGTGAGCTGCATGATGTAGATGAGAACACTGTTCTCCTCTGCTGTCAGATTTATCTGTGGGCCTCTTCTTCCACTGATGGCATTCACTCTCAGTTTTTGAAGATTTTTGCTCCTAGTTTTCTGTCATCCGATACAACAGTCTTCTTTTCATGATTTGTAAGGGATTTTAATAGTGATCCTTCTGATAGTCTGTTTTTTTAGTTCCATGATTCTCATTCCTTTAGTAATCTTGCTTTCTTCATTATCTCCCACTTTCTCTGATGATCACATTATATATCTTGACATTACCAATAATTATTTCTCCAAAGTCTTAATTTCAGTGCTGTGACTTTCAAATTCTACCACCCCACCCCCCACCCCGTATGTCTAGAACCAAAATTCTTTTAGCCTACTCCAGGATTCACATTTCATAGATTGTATCGCCTTTTAATTGTACACAATTCTGTTTTTTCTCATTTTGACCACTTTTGATTCGTGGTATATAGTAGGATGCATTTTTCGCTATGCCCTAGTTCTCTTCTCTTGTTATTTATATGGCAAAACCGCTCATTTTAGATACACACTTTTGTACTTAGGTTTTCGTTTTAAATCTTTGCTGATTACTATTCATAGAAGTGGTTTGATATTTCACAAATATATTTTAGTTGAGTTTGACATTTCATTCCAAGAGCTTGATTTACTAAGAATACAGTCACAGGGATGGGATATATAGTTATTAATGGAAGAAAATTTATGAGTACAGTTCCTTATCTGAATGACCCCCTTGAAATGTTTTTGAGAAATTATTCTTATATAAATTACTTTGAATTGATTTTTGTATAAGAAGCTCATTGTATATAATATTTTGTATATAAAATATTTGCCTTACTGGACAGGAGTAAGTTATTAATGGAAGAAAATTTATGAGTACTGTTCCTTATCTTCAGCCTGGTTGCCAGTAGAACAGATGTGACTAGCAGGGACAGCAGTACCATACAATCATGGCAGGGGTCCTAGGTGCACGAACACGTCAGCATCTGCTCCGGGTAATCATTTACTGTTCCTGTGTGCTCTCCCAGGTCTACCCTGAGCTGCAGATCACCAACGTGGTAGAAGCCAACCAACCAGTGACCATCCAGAACTGGTGCAAGCGGAGCCGCAAGCAGTGCAAGACCCATCCCCACTTCGTGATTCCTTACCGCTGCTTAGGTGAGCTGGCTGGGCTGGCTGTGTCGCTGGCGTAATATTCCTGGACCATATAATAATTTTATCTTCCCTGCTGGCCATACACCCTGTGTCTCCTGAAGTCTCCATCTATGAAGAAGCTCTTTTTCTTATGGCAGTAGAGAACTGAAACTCCAGGGGGAAAACACTTCAGAAAAGCTAAAATACATTCAACACAAAACAATTCCTTAGGTTATATACACAGCCAGAAGATTTTATGATAATACTATGAATAAAAAGAAATTATCAACATATTTATTTTTATTGTGACAAACTGAGCAGATTTATGCCCCATTCAGAGAAATAAAAACCTAAGTAGTTTTTTTAAAGTAATTAATCTCATCTAGCCAGTACCAGTTTGTTATTAATATTAATGGCCTTTCCTCAGCTTATGTTTTTATAACAACTCTGAAATGAGAACCACTTCAAAATATGGCCATTTCACTGACAGAAATTTACAGAACATACTGTAAATTTACAGAGTGAGCATGGATCAGGGAAAATGGAGAGAAGGGCACGGAGTTATTGTCAGAAAGCCTACGTGAAAAGATGGGAGAGAGTTGATTCCTGCCAAGGCTTCGCCTTTAGCAAGTACCAGATTTCTCTTTCATCTTTTGGGAGAGATTCTAGGCTCCTCTGATGTGTGCGCATGTCATTCAAGGAGACACGTCGCTTGTGGCATGTTTAGCAAACTTCCCAGTTCTGGCACGCGTCTTGTATGAAAAAGAGCACATTGACATTAATTGTTCTTGACTATTAAGGGGACTTGATAATCCTTAGATGTTCCCAGTAGAGATTTGGCTTGTTTAAATCACTTATTGTATTTCTTATTTTATAAATCCTGGTTTTTTTCCATTGGACCCGAAACGGGCCCTAATGTGACATGTAGAGCATTATCTTCTACTTTGCCATTGAGCTTAGATTAGAATTAATGAATAAGGGTGTTGTTTGTTCCTTAGGTGCAGGCAAATTTTCCAAAGGTCTCAAACAAATGTATTCTACAAGGCGGTTAAAACAATGTTGATATGTATGTGTAGTGTTTTGTTTTATTTGCACTGATATTGAAGGATCTTAATAATTTTAACATTGTTGTTACTTTCTTTCTTCTGTATTCTCCTTTCCTTTGGCTTCTTCTCTTCCTTACCTTCTTTTCCTCCTGTTTCTTAGTCTCTCACCATCACAGTAGCACATCTTTTGTAATTGCATAGGGCATCGACTGGAATGCTGCTTCTGTGAGGCACACCGTGTTAATTCTATGAGTTGTTTGTTGTGGTTATAAATATAGAGGCAGAAAGGTTAGATTTAATGCCACAATACACACCTTTCCTAGGTAGTAGAATTAGGCCTAGTTCTCACCATCTCTTAATTTATAACCTAGTGTTCCTTACATTATGTAAAAACTTTTTATAAGAGCAGTATTTACCCGGTTTATAAAACTACATCATATAGGAAGGAAAAAGGGCTGTGATCTACAGGCAAGTAGTAGAACTTGAAATGAATCACAACAGATGTTGATAAGGTGACAAACAGAATCCTTGGTGTATAGTATAATCTCCATGTGTTGTTTTCTACTTCACAATCGCAGTAAAAAATGTTCTTACATATTACTCGCTCCTTAAACAAATGGTTATTGTTTAACATTAACCTCAGAATTCTCTAAAAGCTTTGGCTATATCCAAGTATATTCTTTAGACAAAATTCTCTCAAAAATGCTACCTTGAAAACAAACTAAGATTATTTTAAAACATTAAGGAGGCTTGAAAAGAAAAAAAATGCATGTTATGTTGGGCATGCAGCCTCCCTAACCTTCTCTGTAGGCCAAGGATCCAGTGTTGCTTTTTTTCTCAAAACCGTGTGTTTGCTGTGGACATGCCTTCCTGTAGGAACTTGTGATGGGAAACCTGTATCAAGTTGCTTTCGCCACGTGCCTGTGAAGTAGATGATTTCTTCTTGAAGTGTGCTGGCTTTCTCATTTCACCCTTTATTTTCCATACTACTGCTAGAACCAGTGTCAGATCCATCTCGGTCTTACAAACAATTATGCACATGTAATTTAGTGCACATCAATTTATCATCACTCAGGGAGAATTCTTTCTTTCTCTTCCTTTCTCTCCTCTCTTCTCCTCCTCTCACTTCTGCTGTCTTCTCTCTTCTTCCTCTCCACCAACCCCCCTTCTCTTGCAAAGCTTTCAAACCTTTGGTTGCTTTTCATGATATAATGGGTCCCACTATTGAAACCGGCACACTTCTGTGCTTGTTTCTGAAAAGAAAACAAGATACATTGCATAAGATAAATTACTGTTGATTTACAAGTGCAAAGTCAGGTTAATAACTTAATCCAAAAGAAGAATTGCAAGTTAAACATTTACTTGCAATGACCAGGAAACTATTCAGATACAGTCAAATGAGAAATTAAAGGCGTTCATCTCCTCTTAATTTTGAATTTTGTTGTTTGAATAAAATTTTAGGACAAGAAGAGGCCATTCTGTGAATGATCTCCAGCTATTTTAAAATCTTCTCTAAGATGAAGAGTATGTATTTGAATAATCTAACAGATAATGTACTGACAGAGTTCTTTGAACTTTTGTGAAATAACAGCTGTTTCATTGCTTCTTTAGAGAATAATCAGGAATGTTTACATAGACTTCACCAAACTTCAGAAATGGGAAGGGAATAGAAAAACATTTTTTATTGTAGACTTTAAAGACCTTGTAAATATCCTGTTGTCTAAGCATAATAATTTAGTGTAATAGAAAACTAAGATATGCTTTCTTGTAAACTTCAAGTTTTCCAGCTTTAATATTGTGAATTAAATAGTGTGTCTATACATCTGTATATCTACATGGATTTTTTTTTTTTAAACCAGGCATCAAACTCATGACTTCGCACTTGCCAGATGGGTGCTGTACCACTGAGCTATATCCCTGGCACCCTCTTTTTAAAAGGAAAGAGTTGATCATATTGTAAATACTGAAATGAAATTAAGAAAGTATTTTCCTTTGAATATTTTGATACTTTAAAAAATTACTAGGTATTTATACTTAATGAAAAAATTGATTAAAAACCCAGAAAACAACTAGATTTTTAAATAGTTATACAAAAACTATTATCTGAGATGATTTCAATTTTAAAGAACTTTGATGGTACATTATCTGTTAAGAGTACCCAAACACATACTCTTTCTCCTAAAAAAGGTTTAAAAATAGCTGTAGATTCCATTTTAGTATCAAAGCGTGTTGTGGAACATTCAAATTTTAGTACTTGACACAGAAAACTCTGAATATTTGCTTTTATGTACAGTGTGGAGATAAAGTCTGTTATTTTTCTTCCCTGACAGTCACTGAGTGGCCTTGTTAAATTCTCTCCCCATTTTTCCCCTTGATAAATGCCTACTCTTACTGGTGATATGTCCCAAGAGGCTGGCCCCCACTTGCCCACCTTTTCTTCCTGCCAGTGAATCTCAGGTCTTGGCTGTGACCCTAGGGCTGGAGGGAAGTCCCATCCAGCAGCTGTACATAGTCTGGAGAGCAGCCAGAGCAGAATGCAGGAGAAGGAAGGGGAGAGTTCCAAGAGGGGCAGTCTCCTGAGAAATTCTGTGCTGGTTCATTTCCTGCATTGTATGACTGGCCGGGACCTAGCAAGGTTCCACTGTTCCATAGAGTTGGAGAGAAATATAAGTGCACAGTACAGGAAACGCATTTTAAAATGGGGCCACATAGTAACTGTATTTTTGTTGTTGTTGTTGTTGTTGTTGTTGTTTTGTACCAGGAATTGAACTCACGATCTTGCACTTGCCAGACAGCTGTTTATGCCACTGAGCTAAAATCCCTAGCCCTGCATAATAACTTTAGAAAAACCAAAAGTTGGAAAACAACAAAACCCCTGTAGATACAAAGAAAAAGTGCATCATGATCCAGGTGCTAGGAATTTTGGAGTAGTTACGTTAGTCACTTTTCAATCATTAAAAAAAATACCTGAGATAATCAACTTATAAGGAGATAATGTTTGTTGGTTTATGATTTTGGAGGTTCCTGTCTGTAATCAGTTGCTTTAAGTCTGTGGCCCGGTATGAATCATGGTGGCAGTGCTTGTTGGTACAGAATTCCTCACCTCATGGCTGGGAGGCAGAAACTAGAGAAAAAGGAAGAAGCAAGGGTTACACAGTTCCAGGACCTCCCACTGGCCCCACCTCTCATGGATTCCAGGGCTGGGGTGGGGGGAGTTTCTGGAATGAGGATGGAGTCATGGTGTGAATCCAGAGGGACAAGTGGAGAAAACGAGAAGCCACGGGTCATGAAACACAAAGAAAGATGTCCTTCAGCACAATAGTTTGTGTTTGGTAGGAATGGGCAATAATGAAAGACAGTTGGAATGGAGCGAAGACAGTTATTTAAATTTGAAATTGTGGAAATCACATTTTTAATTTGGAACAGCATTAATTCATTTGATTATTTCTGTTTATCTGCTTGCCAGAACATTTTTGTTCACGTATTTTGTGAACATGTGAGCACATTCATTGAGGTTTCAATCCACTTTATATGTCACTGATATGCTAAATCACCTCTGAGATACTCGCTTGTTAATCCTTGTTGTAGTGTGTATAACTGTGCATCAGGCTAAGTCTTTTTATTCTATCGGATCTTTCAATAGGCGATACACTTACATTAGAGAAAAAAACTTGGCTTCTGCCCTTCGGTAAAAATTTCTGTAAGCTGAAGTATATGGGTTATATGGCTCTTCATTTCTAAATTTTAATGGCTACTTCATAAAAGGGTAATAGGTTTGGACAAAGTATTATTGCAATCAGTGGATTTTGAAAGCCTGAGGAGGGAAAATATAGTTGCAGAGCTATGCTGAGAACAGTGCATGGCACTGACAATTAGTATTGCTTTCCTGTGGTACCCATGAATTTGGAAATAATTGGCTTCAGTTTGCAATGTAAGCTCCTTGTTGATCAGAACTTTTGTTTGATTACTAAAAAATTC